GGAATTAATATTGCACAACATTTAATAAACAGCCAGTAGTTACATTGACTATTACAAACATACTATTGAAATGATTAAAATATGACACATTGCTATAACAGTAAAATTTAAATTACAATAGTATATACAGTAAATCAACTTAGACTTATTGACCAAAACAATCTCTCCTCACAGGTCCATTCAGTAGCTGGTTCTGGAGCTTTTAGATCACATGATCCTCCTTCAGCAGATGGAGTTACCCAGCTGTCATGAAATTTGTTTCACTCTCCTTCATAGGGACTTCTCATCCATATTGAGTGTTTCTTGACGCTGGAAACAGTAATTGACAAAACAGTGGTCACCTCAAGGTCTATCTAGTTAGATGTAGTCCATGTAAGTAACAATTCACGCACATAAACCTCACCCAGTTATCACAACTTAAACAATAGCAGCCATCCACCCCTCGCTCACCGAAATGCAACTGGATTACGCACTCAGAAAAATACATATAAGGAACTTATTCCCCCCCAATATATTTGTTGCATAAAAGGGCAAAGACCCACCCCCTGAAATGGGTGAACAGATTGAAAGGAAATTGTAGCATCGATAGTGATTTCATGTTGATAATACTGTAAATACTGTACATTCTATAAAGTAAAGATGACTCATTCACTTTTGCATAGTTTGTTGCCAAAAAGGCACACAAATTTAGGGTGGTTTACAGTAAAAGGAAACTGAATTAAAAAAAACTATGGATTTCTCAGTCTACTGTTTGCAGGTTGAGCTGAAACATGAAAAGTAATGGAGTTTTTGTAATGCTATCAACTGTTTGTATTTAGAAAGTTGTTGTGCTATGATTGATTGATCTGTTCCTCTTGGAAAGAAAACGTGCTAGTGTTTTGACAGAATGATTTGATTTTGAGTCAGGTTTGCTGTGTTTTGATAGAGTTTGTGTATATAGAGAATGTTTTTTTGCATTTTGAAATGTAGAGTTGGTGTTTAAAGAACAAAATGTGGTTTTGAGCAGAAAATGTACTATTTGGCTAATTGTGTGAGGTAGGTGTGTTGCTGTGTTAGGAGTTTCGATAAAGTATCTTAAGTTTAGGTAAACGCTTGTTAGCAATTGAAAAAAACTGTAAGTTGTTTTCACACAGTGATTAAAATTAAACTCAATGTTCTATATCTATCACACTAGCATTTTAGGGGAAGTTTTAAAAGAAGTGTGAGTTTTCAGGACTCCTGCACCTGGGTTAACAAGTCGAACTCCTGTACGTTTAATGGATCTGTAAATAAAATACGTCTGAAAAAGGTTACTTAGCACAGATCATGTGGCTTCCCATATTAATAATGTTCTTTTAAATTATACTCTGCTCACAGTAGTAATCACAAGTTGTAAAAGGTTTTGTATAGTGAACTAAGTGCTCAAGCAGCTGTGTCGGCAAACATCCCTCCATGTTTATAGGATCTTCAGCAGGACACTGAACCCCTGTAGCTGACCTCTGACCTCTGACCACCATGTGGAGGGCAGGAAAAACAAAGGGCTTTCCCTGCAACAACTTTTCACATAAAAAAAGCTAAGATGCACATGGTTGCTTTGCAAACTACTTTGCATGAGTCCTCAGTGCACATTCCACTTTAAGGACTTATGCAATCCTGCTGATAAAAATATGCAGCTCATTATATTGTACCCTGAACTACCTTCTCAGATTTAAATTAAATGTGTTGACAGAGTTTTGGAAAACTTCCAAATGCATACCCCCTTTGTGGCACTGCCTCACTGTGTCTTTGTGTTAGTGATATCCACTCCTTTGAAACTGACTCGGCATCTGGCTCATTTGCTCATACACACTCCAAGTTACATCAGCCAGGACCGGCAGCTCTTCAACTCCCAGCTGCTCAGCAGGGTCTGACCTACATGTGTCATTCAGGTCTAACAGCCAATGAGGAGGCAAGATCTGGTGTTCAAAACCTGGTGCTGGCGTCTCCCCTCACCTGTAGCATTGTAAAAGTTCCTGAGGAGTCTTTTGAGTGTACAGGTGTAACATTAAAGGCGTACTCTTTACACAGAGAGTCAGTTTACTCGTCATGACAAGCACTACTCAGCCAACAGTTGTGTAATATGTTCTGTGGCTCTGGAAGGAACTTTTTTTCAAGGTTCATGCACTTTCAGTGTACCTGAGCCAAACATTTCCAGACTCTCAAAGCCTTTATCATCAAAACTATAAATGCAACTGCACAAAATTTACAGCTTCTACAGAATTACAGAATTCCTGTATATGGACAGCGATCAGTGCTGACTTAGTAATTTCCAGAGTAAGGGACCAACACAGGACTTATCTAGGTATTAATGACAAGTGAACACACCATGAGACAACAAACAAATACGACGACAGGATTGTTTCATTTCAAATATTAAAAGATTTTTGTTAGAGTGATTGTGAGGATGAAACAGATTATGTTGAAAATCAAGCATTCTTCAAGGAGTATATTCATATAAAGCATATCCCTAACCTCGAAAACATAACACTGAAAGTTATGCATTTTCCAAACTTCACAGACATTTTTAAGTTGGAGAAAATAACCCTAATGATGTCATAATGATGTCAATAGGGTTATCTCATACTGGAGGCTCCACGTTTGAACAGATATCCTGCATTACAGAATGGAGGGGTTTGAGTTTTTATTGAGATGCATTATAACAATATAACAATATTATAATGTAGAATCCAGTATTTTCTTAGGTTGATCTGTACTTGGGACTAAAAGTCACGATATCTTGGCATCTGTTCAATCTCAACCATTCTTTGTCTTAATTTGTCTCTTCCAAGTCTTCAGACTTTATGGAAGTATAAAGCTAAATAGCTGGATTCAAAATTAAATCTTACAGATTACCATTCAAACTTTAGTCAACTCAATTACACCTTATTTAATCTGTTTGATCTGTGATCCTCTTTTAAATTGGTTGATGCGAGCTAGCAATCTGACTGTGAGCTGTCATGCTAAAAACAATCATCAATAACTCACATTTGTAATCTTTCTTTTCATTTCTATTTAAGCACATTTCTTGAAGAAAGTTGAAGAAAACTGTTTTGTCGGTGCATGCATGCAGCTTTTACTTGAGCACCATGAGTGTGCACCTCAAAGCTTTAACATCACCGCAATAAAAATACACCATACTCACTTGGATATTACTACAACTGCAGACATTAAAAATCTATTTAACAAATATGTTGTGGCGCTTCATTAAGGGAAGACATTACTAGATCTGTTCTGTTGTGTAAGCAAAGAACACAGGGAGCAGGGCAGGTTTGAAAGGGTATATACATAGTCACTGTGTGGCAACCAGGTATTTTTAGCACTCTGCCGAGCGATAATAGAAACTGAACTCAACACTTAAATATGCCTAAGCCTAGATATTCTCCTGGCTTGAATCTAGTCCTTGTTTCCAGTCATGAGCAGCGGCATGCATGGCTGGGATCAGGGTGTGTTGCTTCAGATGCTTCACCTAAAAGTGGCTTAAGACACGGATGAACATAAAGCAGGCTACAACTGCGGAGAAAGTGACAGCAACTGAGCACATGTGTGAAAGGCATCAACGCAAAGGTACATTTTGGATAAAGCCCCCTGCCCCCTCAAAGAGCCAAATGATACTGCTCTGTCTCACCGTCAAATCCAATGCAATTTTCTTTTACAGAGTGATTACTAAGTACTTACAGAGTCAGAGAGGAAGAGCTAAATCAAACAGCAGTAGAGAAGAGAGAGTACAGTTTGTGAGCTGACACTGAGGGCGAACCACTCAGGAGAAAGTTTCTGGAGATCAGATCAAGCTTTACTATTTTTTTTTTAAAGAATTTTTCCAACCAGAGCATGACAACAGTTGGACCCTGTGATTGCAGTCATAACATATTTATTAAGTGAGCCCTGCTGGCCACACTCTGCATGCTACAGCCTGCTGTTACGTAAACCCATGATCCATATTATATCTTCATAGTCATATTTCTCATCTGTATATCCCTCCAAAATAAATAATCAGTTTTGTCCCCTGTGGTTTGTGAGTTGCACATACACTGGGAGTACGCACAGAGCACCCTGGATGATGCAAAGTGGGGGAAATAATAATAGTCGCCTTTGTGTTTTCTCTCAGGAAGCACCGAGCAGCAGAGCAAGCATGCAATAACACATCATGTAAATGGTTGTTTCAGT